CCAGGCGCTAATGCCCAGTGCCCACCCAGGCTAATGCGCGCGCACACGTTTGAACTTTCTACGGAAGTGTTCCATTTCTACGGAAGCATTGAAGTTCTACGGAAGAGCTACATTTCTACGGAACAGCGACGGCTTATACCACGGAAGAGCTAGATTTCTACGGAACAAGCTCGCGACTGTTTCCACAGAACAGCTATTTTTCTAAGGAACGATCGCAGATTTACAAGGAACGATTGCAGAATTCTAAGGAAAGATGTTCAATTCTAAAAATAACAGTTGTATTTTTACAGAACGACACTACATTTTCAAGTAGAAGCGTTGTCCCTTGTGGGCCACCGTAGTTTTGCCTTTTTTTCTACTCGAAAAAATTGTTTTGCTCACTGTTATGGGCCTTTAGCATTGCGGATCAGAATCGGCCCGTCAGCGGTTGTTTTCGAAGCATGTGACGTCACCTATGGGGAAGAAAGGCGATGCTCCACAAAAAGCCTACTGAAGGTCTTTTAAACTGAAGAACTTTAGCTCGATGTCCAGGTGTCTTTAAGGGAAAATTGTACCGAAAATGCCAAGGATAGCATGTTCTTACAGTTTGCCACACTCTTTACTGTAAAGGCTTAATCTTTAAATTAGGAGATCTCCTCGGGATAAAAGTGTGAATGAAGCAACGTTGGCGCGACACTGTAAACAAGAACCGCGGAGGTAACTTAGGTTTACTGTACATCTGTTTGAAAGACATACTTGTAGCAGAAATATTAACAAAGTAACAAATATGAAATTTGTACATCAAGAATTTTAATTAGTTGCAACAACTTGTAAGCGTCAATTTCTTTTGTAATTAAACAGTCTCTTCTTTTCTGATTTTGATCAATTAAAGTGTTCCCTTCATTACAGGCTGTACAGCTTACAAACTTACCCGCTGGTGGCATTTGTTTATTATTTGTAGACGCGCCGGCAGAAGTTGCGATAATTTAACGTTTTAATGAGGTTATTTAGTATGAAACTGGATGGTTTCGACTACGGTGTTCTGTGTTATTCTCGATCTTTCCTGTATTTCTCATTGGAATTGTTTAATCATTTTCTAAATCTGGGGTGGTAATAGAGGCTAATTCCTTCCATTGCAGTTCATTAGCTGTGTCATCCTCTCACCCTGCCCTACCTGTTGCTGTTGGAGAACCTAGTACTTCAAGTGCATGTGACCAAACAGCCAGCCCCAGTGAACAAGTTCTTGAGGAACCTGAGAATGTGAAGATTGCATCGCTTCCTACTAGCTCACCTATAGAGACGCATGATTTTGGATGTCAAGTTAACACTCGAGGAGAGAGTCTTATGCTGAAATCAGTAGGGATCCAAACACCTGACTTCTTTGGTCTTTGTGACCAGTACACTCAGACCGAACCAGGTCTTTTTGATGGGGAAGCCTGGTTCTTTAACACTGAAGAAGAACCAGGCAGTGAAAATGAGAGTATTGAAAATGTATCCCCTCACAAAGCCTTATCTTATATCCCCTCTAAAAGTGATGAAAGTGTTGATGATGATGAGGAAGAAGTTTCAATGGCAGCACCATCAAAGTTGAAACCTCAAACTCCCCAAAATGACACCAAATTCCTAGTATTTATGGAACAATTGGATGATCTTTTGCATCGATTCCCTACATGTGGGGCAGTAGTAAGCAAAAAAAGAAACGTCCACTCGGGAAGTCAACTGTGTGTTACCCTAGCTAAAATGTAAAAGTGGGCACATAAAATTTGGAAGAGTCAACCCATGCTCAAAGGGAAGGCTGCTAAGTGGAGCAACATACACAAAAATAGCATCTTTATCTGAAATTTTTTACTGGAAAATTTTTAGTGAAAAGACATTTTACAACATTCAAAACATGTACTTATTTCCTGTGATTAATGAGGCTTGGGAGGCGGAACAAAATTCTGTTTTCAGTGAGCTTGAAATTGAATACCTGTGGCTGTCTGGAGATGGTCGATGTGACAGTCCCGGACACAGTGCTAAATATGGGACATACACCATGATTGATCAACTAAGTGACTTTCAAATTGTTCAGGTTAGTGAGGTGACCAGCAGCAACGCAATGGAAAGGGAGGGGTTTAAAAGGTGCATGGAAAATATTCATGACAGAGGAGCTAACATAAAAGTAGTCGCCACAGATCGCCATGTCAGTATACGGTCTGACATGAAAAAGAATTTTCCGCATTTGCAACACCAGTTCGATGTTTGGCATGTGGCAAAAAGTATCTCCAAAAAACTCACAGAAAAGGTTAAGAGGAGGCGTCGCTGGTTGCACTCAATATTGAGAAAAAATTTCAAGCCAACCACTGGACACCGAGTATGTAGCTTGCATTTCAAAGGAGGAAAAAAACCTACATGAACAATGTTCCTGTTATTTTTCCTTCGGCAAAATCTCATCCCAGGTGGTCACCCGTACCAAGGAGAAAACTAATTGTTAACAAATCTTCGACATCCAACTAAGAGATGCAGCCTTCACCTAGTTTACCAGCTTCAACCACTACATCAAAGACTGATGAGTCCGAGCGTGATTGTCAAGAGATTGGACGATTGAGAGAAGAACTGGGAAGGGTTTTACATTTAAAATGATCGTTGGAACGGGATCTGTCTATCCTTAAATTTGGTTTAAAGTGTTTTAAAGAATCAGAAAAGGATATGATCTACACTGGCCTGACCTTTGGTCAGTTTGTGGCATTACTCAATTTCCTAAATGCCTATGGTATTTGTGATCATTTAAATTACTTGGGCTCTGATTATGCTAAGGTACAATTACCTGATATAGAAAAGAAGGGACAAAAGCGCTTCTTAGAGCCTGATGACGAGCTTTTTCTGACATTGTGTAGATTGAGGGTTAATATGCCAGAGAAAGTACTGGCTGATAACTATAATATTAGTGTATCGGAGGTCTCAAGGATTTTTGCTACCTGGCTCGACTTACTTTTTTCAAGGTTAATTCAACTTCCTGTTTGGGCTACGAGAAGAACAGTTGAAGAAACAAAGCCTGAAGTTTTTCAGCAGAAATACCAACACACAAGGGTCGTCCTTGACTGTACCGAATTATTCATTGAAAAGCCCTCATGTTTCCGTGCACAATCTGAAACTTACTCTTCATATAAGTCCCACAATACAGCCAAGGGTCTTGTTGCAATAGCAACCCCTTGTGTCAGATTTGTATGGAGGTCATTGTAGTGATAAAGTTATTGTTGAGCATTGTGGCATTCTACAGCGTCTTGAAGAGGGTGATGCAGTAATGGCAGATCGTGGCTTTGAAATCGAAGACCTATTAGCCTAGAAGAAAGTTTACCTTAATATTCCACCCTTCATGAGAAGTAAAGACCAGCTAAATCCTGATGAGGAAGATGAAACCAGGGAGAATGCATCAGTTCGCATACACGTGGAACGGGCTATTAAAAGAGTGAAAAACTTTAACATTCTTAAACAGATAATACCAAATTCTATGGCTGAAGATGTTGACAAAATTTGGAAAGTTTGCTGTTTACTGGCTAATTTCAAGGGGCCACTGGTAGTATGGTCAAGGCCCCTTGAAATTAGGCAGTACAGGGTGTCCCAAAAATTCGTTCCTCTGATCTCATGCACTATAACTTTTGATCAAATGTTCATTTTTACATGACATGAAATATCTAGAAGCTGTTTATTTCTCTATCGAGTACATGTACTCAGACTTTCAGTAACTGGCATGCCCTTTTTGTTTATTTATCACATTCTGTAGCGGTTGTGGCATGGAGTGGGATACAGCTTGTAGACCCACAGATGATCTATTCTGAGCTTTTTTATCACCTGGTGCGCAGGAGCCAGTTCAACCTCCAAACAATATTTGTTTAGTTTAGGCAGCTGAAAAAAATATATAACTCTGGGCATTCATCCAGAAGAAGATAACCATCCCCGGTCCCCTTCCACAGCAAGACTTTTTTACTTCTCTTCAAATTTGAGACGAGCTGAGCGTTACTTGGCAGACTAAGCAGAGGTTTTTTTGGCCATCTCAGTGGCCTTTAATTTGAAGCATTCGCTTTTCATGAACCTGTTCTGGAATTAGCTTTGCTAACTATGTGAGAACTTCCTCGTCGAGTCT